GTACATGTCCACCCTTATAGGTACGCTCACTTTCAGAAAACCGAGATCGAACGGCAAGTGGCCGAGATGCTTGAATCAGGTCTCATACAGCATAGCAAGAGTTCGTTCTCTTCTCCAGTCGTGTTGGCTAAAAAAAAAGACGGTACGTGGAGATTCTGTACTGACTACCAAGCTCTAAACGCTGCAACCATCAAGGACAGATTTCCAATCCCCAGTGTCGACGATATGCTTGATGAGTTAGCTGGATCACGCTATTTCTCTAAGCTCGATCTAAGAGCTGGCTACCACCAGATTCGACTTCACAAAGCTGACATCCCAAAGACAGCCTTTCGTACACATCAGGGGCACTATGAGTATCTGGTTATGCCATTCGGCTTTTGCAACGCCCCATCCACTTTCTAGTTCGCCATGAACTCTATTTTCAAGAATTACCTGCGTAAGTTCGTTCTGGTATTCTTTGACGATATCTTGATCTATTCAAAGTCATGGGACGAGCATCTTGGGCATCTAAGGATAGTTCTCGAAATCCTGGAGGCCAACTCATTCCACATCAAACCGTCTAAGTGTTCATTCGGGCAGGAGATGGTTGAATATCTTGGACATTTCATATCACATGACGGTGTGGAGGTCGATCCACGAAAAATTGAGGCTATGGTCGACTGGCCTAAGCCAACTAGTCTCACACAGTTGAGAGGATTTTTGGGGCTTACAGGGTACTACCGGAAGTTTGTAAAGGATTATGGAACCATCGCCAAACCGCTGACAGCAATGACTAAGAAAGGCGGGTTCACATGGACCGAAGCTAGCGAGAAGGCGTTTGGAAAATTGAAGGAAGCGATGACAACAACGCCAGTACTCGCCATGCCCAGATTTGATGTCTTGTTCGAGGTACATACCGATGCAAGTGACATTAGAATTGGGGCGGTGTTAGTGCAAGAGGGGCGACCCCTAGCCTATCTCAGCAAGGCATTAGGCACTACTCGACTGGGTCTGTCCGTGTACGTAAAAGAGATGCTAGCAGTTGTAGAGGCTGTACGGTGCTGGAGACCTTATCTACTAGGTCGGCGATTTCAGTATGTTACCGACCAGCAACCGCTCAAGCATCTGTTGGAACAGAGGATAGTTACCCCCGAGCAGCAGAAGTTCGTGTCTAAACTTATGGGGTTTGACTTCGAGATAATCTATCGACCGGGTCGACAAAACGCAGTGGCTGACGCGTTTTCCCGACGAACGGACGTGGCCGAGTTAAATGCGATCACGGGGCCTACTTAGGCCATTTGGGAAGACATCCGGAAGGCACAAGCAGAGGATACCCATTGCCAGGAGTTGCGCCAATCAATAGAAGCAGGCAAGCCAACTGCTATCGACTACGAGCTGCATAACGATCTACTTCTACACCGAGGACGAGTCTATGTCCCCGACAGTGGGCAGATACGCGAGCAGATCTTGCAGCATTTCCATGACTCCAAGGTTGGAGGTCACTCGGGTATTTATCGCACATGGATGCGAATAGCCAACACCTTTTTCTGGCCGGGGCAGCAAGGTACCGTTCGGGACTACATAGCACGATGCGACGATTCTCAGCGTACTAAGTCTGACTCGCGACGACCAGGCGGGCTGCTACAACCCTTGCCGATACCCGAGGCAATATGGGAAGACATCACCATGGATTTCATCGAGGGCCTACCAAATTCTAATGGGTTTGACGGTGTTATGGTTGTGGTGGATCGAATCACGAAGTACGCTCACTTCATACCCATTACCCATCCTTACACCGCAAAGTCAATTGCCAGGTTATTTGTGGAGTATGTGATGAAACTGCATGGAGCACCTCGATCTACCGTTTCTGATCGAGACCGAATTTTTATGAGCAGTTTTTGGTCCGAATTCTTCAAGTTGCAAGGGACTAAATTGTCTATGAGCTCAGCCTACCATCCACAGACAGACGGACAAACCGAGGTAACTAACCGAACACTTGAGCAGTACCTAAGCTGCTATGTCCATCAATTTCCGAAGAGGTGGGAAAACTTCTTACCATGGGCTGAGTATTGGTACAACACCACCTACCACGAGTCGACCAAGATGACACCATTCGAGTTAGTG